GCCAACACCCGCACACACCACCACACAATACGCCTGCCCGCCTGTGTGCGCACTTCGGGCCCCGTGTGTGTGGCAACTGCTCTACGGCGCCCCATGTCCGCATCAAGCCCTAGGCCTCATCCTGGAAACACACACCCCTGTGAACCTGCGAACGCTGCAGACCCCAAACCACCTGCCTCTCCAAGCTCCGCACAGAGAGGGTGAGGAGAACCCCAGCCTGGGGCTCTGGAGGCTCTGGATTCAAATCCTAGCCCTACTTGTGACTTTGCCATATAAACCTGGACCAATCCTCTCTCGGCCCAGTTCTTCCCGACCAGAAAAAAAAGCTGAACTAGATGACTGATAGTCCGTCTTTCCCAGAGGCAGAACACACTCAGTGTCCCTGTTGGAATGCCAACTGGCCAGAGGACATAGGGAGGATTCTAGAGAGAAGCTCCTCCTGGTCTCAGTAATATGAGAGAAGCCAAGCCACAGCCTGTCATTTGAGATACTGCAAATCAAGAGACTAGAGGTCTCTCTTTGCTTGGCTACCAGGAAGCTCCAACCCAAAGTTAATGCCCCTGCTTCAGCCAGTGAACAGGAGTCTGCATGTCACCTGTCCTCACATCCCTGGCCTACCCCTGGGTCCCCTGTGCCTTCGCCTGACTCCAGGGTTCCCCGGTGTCCTTCCTCCGGGCTGCTGCAGGGAGAGCGTTCCCTCGAATGCCCACCTGCCCATGTGCGTTATCTTCCCGCGGCTGCCGTGACAAGGCGCTGCACACCAGGCGCTTACAGCGGGTTCGATGGCACAGGAGGTGTGGCATGAGCTCTTACCAGGCTCATCCAAAAAGCTTTTGAGGAAGTTACATAAAACATGTGTACCCAGAGTGAGAAGGCACAGGGGACCCAGGGGTAGAGCCAGGGGATGTGAGGACAGGTGACATGCAGACTCCTGTTCACTGGCTGAAGCAGGGGCATTAACTTGGGTTGGAGCTTCCTGGTAGCCAAAGCAAAGAGAGAACCTCAGTCTCTTGATTTGCAGTATCTCAAATGACAGGCTGTGGCTTGGCTTCTCTCATTACTGAGACCCAGGAGGAGCTTCTCCTAAGAATCCTCCCTATGTCCTCTGGCCAGTGGCATCCCAACAGGGGACACTGAGTGTGTTCTGCCCTCTGGGAAAGAGGGACTATCAGTCATCTAGTTCAGCTTCATTTTTTTCTGGCTGAAGGAACTGAGGCCGAGAGAGGAGTGATCTGTCCAGGTTATATGGCAAAGTCACAGTAGCGCTAGGATTTGAATCCAGGCCTCCAGAGCCCCAGGCTGGGGTCTCCCTCACCCCTCTCTGTGCGGAGCTTGGGGAGGCAGGTGCTTTGGGGGTCTGCAGGGTTCCAGGTTCACAGGGGGTGTGGTGTTTCCAGGATGAGGGCCCTAGGCTGAGGGACATGGGGCTCCGTGAGAGCAGTGCCACACACACGGGGCCCGAAGGCCACACAGCCGGGCAGGCGTGTGTGTGTGTGTGCACACATGTGTGTGTCTGGGGAGGTGAGGGACCTGCTTGGGTTGCTGGGGGCGGCTGACCTGTCCAGTCTCTGCACAGGATGTATCTGCCCCAAATCTGAAATCCCGCAGCAAAGACCTCCCTCTTCTGGTTCCAGGTGGGCTCTTAGGGTCCCCCAGGACCCCATCGATGATGCCATGGGTGGCCCTGTGACGCCCGACAACCCGCTGATGGGTAAGTGTTTCCATGGGTCTCTCTTTCCCGGGGAAAGGTGTGTGCCAGGGAGCAGCACCAACATTTTGGAAGTTGTCCTGAACCTCCCTGAGCCAGAGAGAGAGAGAGACAGAGAGAGAGAGAGAGGGAGAGCGGGAGGAGGGAGAGAGGGAGGGAGAGAGAAGGGAGAGAGGGAGAGAGGGAGAGAAGCTATTAGGTAGTGCCAAAGTGAATTGGTGATTTTTTTGTTATTACTTTCAATGTAAAAACCACAATACTGTTTGTACCAACACCGAAGTCTTCTCCAGCTTGTGAGGTTATAACTGATACTCAGGAACTCTGGGGCTGATGCAGCTCCACAGGATGCTCAAGTGAAGCTGCACCAAGGCCCCTGGCCACTGTCTCCGAAGAGCGTCCCAAATGTCCACTTCTCCAGACAGGCAACCCAACAGTCTCAGACTCTATCCTTCCGTCACTGTTTGAAACGCCTGGAA